CTGCCCACTGGTTTTCATCAGAGCTTGTCAGGACTCAGGGAAGTAAAATCTGAATGAAGGCTTATGATGTGTCTCAAAAAAAAAAAAGCACCACGTTCTCACTGCAGGAGCTTAGTTACGAGATCATCCTTCTTCGCTGTACACATCTGTAATGATACATACCCAGAACTCCACTGACTTTGTCAGAAAAACGGTCGGTGTTCAAGAAATACAGCCCAAGGAAATCATCTGGAAACTTTACAAAGGAAATTTTTACTGTGACTGTATCAGACAATGATGCTGTGATGCTCCTTTCCTTTTCAACTGAGACTCTCAGCCTAGGAAGTAAATTATGACGTTATTTCCAAGAAGAATACAAAGAAAGAATATGTATTGAACTAACTGACATGAATTAATTAAAATAATCTAATTTTTGCCTTTTGTCTCTGCAATTGCATTTTTCATGGTCTGCTGGTGGTTATTTTTAAGCTGGAAAATATTAAGTAGCATATCTTTTCTCTCTATGCTGCCCAACAGATCTTTCCCATATCAAGTTACACGCAAATACACCAACAGAGAACTTTTTGCTGATGAAAGCACCCTATTATCCATAATGACAAGAAGTACTTGGATGGAAAAAAATGAAAACTTTTTTCATCATTTTTAATGAGAAAAAAAGGTAGACTAGATAAAATAATTCAATCTATTGTATGAACAAGTCAAATACTTTTTTCTTGAATATTTCACAAGTTTTTTCAGACCCTGCCTTTCTTCTAACACATTAATTTTATTTCAATCCCAGGTGGGCTTGCAGAACACAAACATCCACCATAATTTTTCTCCCTTGCAGACCAAGTCAGACAAAACCACGTGCGCACATGCGCTGGTGTACAAAGTGCTGCAGTTGCAAGGGCTCGGGTGCTGGTTTGAAGCAGGAGGAGCGCTCTGCTTGGCAGATGGCAAATTATAGAGGGGCATAAATCCAGCATGTTCTTGGCTCCGTTTGGTTTACAAAATTAATCAAAAGCAGTTGTTTCAGGACTTCTGTTATTGTCTAGAACTGCCTCTAAGGGAGGGAGTGCTGTGTGTCCCGTCTGCCCCAGGCCAGCAGCAGATCCTCCCAGAGATTTATTCTAGCAACGCAAAAAAGCTGGTGGATCTAGCTACATTCAGCTCGCTCTTGGGGTAGTGAAGGATCCCACTCTCATCAGTCGCACGAATGCAGTCCACATTCGAAGCACCCTTTCTCCAGAGGCGGGCATTTAATTACAGACAGCTATTCTAACACTTTATGCTTTCCTGTAAAAAATGTCAGCTGCCCAGATGTGAGTTATTGCTAAAACTGAGGAGAAAGGAAACTTCAGCCTGCATGGAGCCAACTGGTGTATAAAAGAGACAGTAAATGTCAAAGCCATCACTTTGCAGTACTTGCTCTGAGGCTGGAGGAACACAAAGTCTCTGGTGGCCGCCTGCTCGGTGATGGCACAGGGGACACTATGCACCACAGCAGGTCCTTTTCTTTGGAAAATAGATGATCTGCCTCTGATGTCGAAGCAGAAGGGTGGGCTAGGGGTACAGTTGTTTTGATTCTCTTACACAGGCATGGAGAATTAACATCAAACCTTTTTTGTTCTCTGCATTTGAAATGGGGGACTGCGAAGGTACCCTGCTTCTTCGATTTACTCATTGGATAAGGGCATTTGGAAACACTTACCTGAAGCACATGTGAAAATGGACACCTGGATGAAAAAAGATCTGACACTTTTTCAAGTGTGGGAAAGTACAGGGTGATGTTTCTTACCCCTGGACAGCGGTGGTGGCTGACTCCATCCACGGCAGCTGAGTGCTCTCATTACTGTGGCTCAGGATGATTTCACCCGTGGAGACATGGATTCGTGCAGGGGGATTCACATAGTTAATATCAAACTGCACAAAGTGGTTTATTCTGTCTCCAAGTTTCCCCGTCACAGTGAGTCCTTTAATAACGTCGACACAAATTTGTCAAGTGACTGTGCTTTTAAAGTATGAGTGATCTTAATAAAACTGCTTCAGTTTTGTTGCTGAAACAACTTCAGGGCCTTGAATTTCATTTTGGGGGGCACAGTACCCCAGATTTCTGCTCCATGTGCCCCCAGGCTGTGGTGGGGTCACCAGAGTTGGTTTCCCCTCATGTTACCACCTCCTCTGGCAGAGATGGCTCTGCTCCATCATCAGAGCAGGTGACAACCAGTGCCTGGGGCCAGGGCTCCTCTGAGCACAGGACCACAGAAAAACTGCATCATGTTAAGGGTGTGCATCTTTCTGTTAGCATGCAGGGACCATGGGGTTTAAGATCTCTGCATCCTCAGAAGACCCTAAGGGCTGGGCAGGGGAAAAGCCTTAATGCCATGGACATGACACCATGAGGACAGGAGCTGACCCACAACCCATGAGAAGTGCCCTCAGCTGTTCACAGTGACAGTTAATATTGCCTCATAGAAAGGAAAAATGAGGCACAGCGTCTCCAGTCACTGTAAGGCAGCAGGTACAATTTGGCCCTTCACAAAAGTGGGTTATTCCCAAAGGCACCAACTGCTCTCATAGACCAAAGGACTCCCCTTGTTTGTGGTGTCGCGGGCAATCTGGCTCACTCACCTTGCTCTGGATCTGACAGCAGGTGGAGAGAGGGCTGTGCTTTTCCATCAGCATTTAAACAGATGATTTCATTTTGTTTGGGTAATTGCACAAGCAGCTGCGGATATTCATCAGCTGAAAAGCCAGAACAATGTTAGCATGCAAAGAGAAGTCTAGCCTGTGCCCTTTGGACAGGCACAGCAAACTTACTTAATCAATGTATACCTAAAATATTAGTTATAGCTTTTTTAGAATAGAATTATTAAAATCAACACAGTAATAATTATTGAAAAGCACACCCAGACACAGCATCTTGATATGCATGAAAACAACAGATTTTTAAACTTAAGAGTTTATTAAGGACAACAAGGTCTTAAAAAAGCTGAGGCTGAAGATCTGTTGTACATTTTTGTTGGTGGTTATACCCTCGAGCCAGAGAGGCTTTCTCATGGGATACAGGGATATTTTTCACTATGTGGAAGGAACCAGACAAGGTTTGCAAGAAGAGCTAAAGAGTTTTCATAGAGTTGATGCAGAGAAAACATTAATGAAAAACTGTAATTTACAGTTAAATTGTTTACTAAAATGGGACTGGCACATGTATTACTTACCATGAGGTTGTGCTCTTGTTTTGTCTCTTAGCCTGACAACTGAAATACTTAAAATTAGTAAGAAGAGTTTAATGAAACATTTTTCTCTAAGTTGGCTAATTAACCAGGGTGAATACAGTGACCAAAGCCTTTTTAGCAGAGCACTTCACTGACTTCTGTGGCGAGATCTGCTTAAAACAAGATGTCCTTATGGGGAAAAAAGCACAACGTCCAGTGCCTATTTCTCTTAGGATCGACCATGCCAGTGGGGCATGCTCTGCCTGGGCTGCGGGAGGGTTTAGAGCTGCGTTTTCAACAGCCACTATGCAGCATTGAACCCAGCACACCCACCCCAGCTCCTCTCACACACGGCTGTGAATAACTACCTGCTGACGACAGCTTCTTGTTGCTGCCAGATTGGGACCCAGAGAGCCATCGACCTGAAAGAAAAGGTTTTTCCAATATGCCACTGGTTTGGGGTCATGCCTTGTGTCTCCCTCCCCACCCTTTAAAGCAGGGAATCCCTCCCACTCATTGCCCGCTGATTTTTTGGATACAGACCCCGTGCACTCGTGTGGATCCCATGCAGGCAGCAGCCAGCGCCTTCCCTGCTCCGTGCTCAGGCAGCTGGCGGTGATGCCGAGCTCTGTCTGTGCAGTACCCCGTGTTTTCCTCCTTGCAGGACAGGCGTTGTCATCCTGGGGTCAGCTGTGCCTCACCTTGGCTTTACACAGCCAACCCCAGGACTGCTAAACTAATTTATTTTTTTACACCCATTTCCTTCAGCTTACTAATATATGTTTGTTCAGAACTTTCACATTTATTTTCAGGAGGTATAATAATTTTTTATTTCTGAAAAGGGACCTAGATTGCTTTCAAAAGTTTACAGTTTATCATAAAACAACTGTGGACTGAAAATGATATAATAAGAACTAAATTGTACATCAAGTGGGCATCCACAATCAAAATGTATTTATTAATGCTGCTCTGAACCTACATATGAAATAAACTTTATAAAATTATTCTGAATAAAAACAAAGGAGGACCACTTACCAGGAGGTGATCCACCCATCAGTCTATAAGCATCTGGAGAAAGAAAAGAGAGCGTCTGTACTTTATTTGTGATGGTATTACATACCTTGTGGGAGTGTTTCAAACATCAAATCTGTAATTCACCAGCTGCATCCATCTTCCTTTCCCAAAGTAAACTATCTGCAGTAATGAAGTCCACAGGACATGAGCACTGATCCCTGGAAAATGTTTCCAGCCCAAGGATGGAAATGGACAAAAACTAAGAATTTTGTGAGGAAGGGATTTGCAAAAAGGGATTTGCTTGCCTGCTAGATTCCTGGGGCCTCACCCACCCACCTTGTGCATGGGGATGGGGAGGGGGGCAGTGGTGGTTGCCTGTCCCCAGTGCGAGGGTGGGTGCTTCTGGTGGCAGGGGGCACCAGGCATGGGCAGCTCTGTAAAGGGACCGGCTCTGTGCCGAGCTACAGCTCCAGCACAGGCTCACACACGGTGCCCCTGGAGCCCTGAGGCTCCAGGCGAGAGCTGCTCCTGGCAGCCAAAAATCAGATGAGCTCAACATGAGAAACTGCAACAACAACCAAAAGAGCACATCAAAACCTCCTGTGGTCCCAGCAGCCCAGCATCCTGTTTGCCCCTTCTCCTCCCTGGCTGCTCCAGTCGCATTGGTCTGTCACGACAGAGAGCAACGGTGCTCAGTGATGCTCTGGTGGGCACCAACCCCTGATCCTGGGGGACATCCCTGCACCCTGGAGCAGCCGTGCCTGCCTGACCATCACCCCTTGGCGCCTGCTGCGGAAACAGGGCGTGCTGCAGAGGTGGCACCAACACTTCTCTTGCAGCCAAAGGGAGCTCTAAGGGAAGGGCAGTGCCAAGCCCTGCGTGTCCCCTGAGCTTCTGGTCAGGGAGTTTCCTGCTGTTAAACTCCCCAACACCACTTTGAAATAGATAACCTTCAGAGACGGGGCAGCATTATAATTCCCTCAATATATTTCTGTGATAGACCAAAACGAGGGCTCTGCACCTATAAAAACATTGCTACTGTGGTGTATTGTCATAGCTGAAATTGTCAGACTAATAATGCTGGAAGTTTAAAATTAATATTCAAACATCTCTTATTTCCAAACAAAAAGGAAAAAAATACCTAAGCCATCCTCAGAAGTAATTCCAAAATATCTTGAGCTTAATTTTTTGACAGATGCTTCACACGTGGTAGGAAGAAGCAGACAACATCATTAGCACCATTCACTTGAAGAACTACTTGTAAAGACAATTTTGGCCTTCAAGACTTTCTGGATGGAAGATTTTCTCCCTTTGACCACATTATCCACCCAAACTCTGCACAGACCTTGTCAGTTCTTGTTTATGTTTTGCTTCATATATTTTTCCAAATCTGACCTACTTGCCTCTCTAGAACAACCACCACGAGCTTCTTTTTTGTGTGTGTGGGTTTTTTTTTTCTTTTCTTTTTTCTCATTAGAGTACTATAGAAATATGCTACTGGAAAAGCGGAAAACATTTACCTCCTACTGGAAGACTGCTGGGCTTCTCATTATCTAACACAAGGAAGAAGAACAGATTAGTGTCATACAGTCAACACTGAATTCCTCTACTCATGTGCAAACCAGAAAACTGGGACAGGTGGGTGTTGGGCTTCAGGTGATAAGAGCTCTTTGTGTTAAAGGATAGGTAGATAGAGCACGTGCAAGACTCTTAGCGATGGCATGCTTTCCTCCCCTGCATTCATTTTTCCACTTTAACGCTACACATAAAGGTGCAGAATCCCTTTGCAGTGGCAGGGATGCTGAGTAACAACTGTTACATCACTTTTAGTTAATAAATTGTTTTCCATTTCAATAGTAGTGCCCATTTCACCACTTCACCTTTAAAAAAAAATCCTGTATGTTTTATTTTGAAACGAGGCTAATCCCTGAACTCCTGTCTCTGTTGTGGCTTACTACCATGTCCCATCACTATAAAATGAGCCTATACTGGAAGTCAACAACAAATCACCAATAACAACAACACATTTCGGGCGGGCTGTTCGCTGCCCCATTTACCAGCTTCGGTGGGTTTGTTTGCCAGCTCTGTCTGCTGCTGGCCAGCGGGTTTGGTGACCACCATGGAAGTGAGGGGGGTAACGAAGCTGTACTGCAGAGACAGCTCCAAGGCCTGTGCCTCCAGGGTTTTCTGCTCCTCCTCTTGTGCTGAAATACTAAAGTCTGTGTTAATGATGAAGAAATAACATATAGAGACTATGAGCAGGTAGTTTTCAGATTCTTTTTCATATTAGCTGTGTCTCAACAGATAGTTTTTATTATCGAAGGGTGAGTAGTCTTATTGGGATAACTCAGCTGTTCATGTCCATGAAATTATGGAGCTGCTTAATTGTTTGCAACACTGGAGCCTATGTATGGTTCAAATACATAAAAATAATAGAAACATGATCTATGAAATGTCTCATCAACGTCCTTATTGATCTCTTTACTAGCTATTGCCATTCACTTCTCTATAGACAATATTTCTGGATGTGTAACAGCAGTTCAACACAATCCAGGCAATTAAAATCTATTTCATAGTAATGTCATGAAGAGTATTTTATGTTTTCATATGTGTATACATGTATACATTTAATGATACAGCACTATCACAAACTGACAGGCACCTCATGCTCCTCATACTGTAATGTAGTATTCTTCCAGTATACTATGTTTTTAACACTATCTGCAGAAATATTTCTATATCTTTTTGTTTTCTGATCCTATAACTTGTAAATAAGGAATTTGTATTTTAAGAAGTTAGAAACTTGTAATACAAAACATTAAAATAGCTTACGATTTTTCCAGAAGCTGTTGAATGGTTAAGTAAGCCCACAGTCTCTCTATGAAATTTCCAAAGATGTAACTTTGATTTTGAAATACTTGCTCCTTCTCTTTGACGTTTGCTTCTTCTTTAAGAATCAAGTCACTAGCATGCTGAAGTGGGAGAAAACTGACCATCAGAAGAGCAGTTCCAGCCTTCTATCGTCACACTACTAGACTTAAAAGAAAAACTTTCAGTACCAAAGTTCCTTTTTTGTACTTCAGTTTTGTCCTTTCCCATTGGAAAATGCAACTCCAAACTAGCAAAGAACATTTATTTTGTATATGTATTTCTGGACTCAAAACAATGTTGAAAAATGAGGGAATGAAATTGTTCTATTTCAGCATTTTTGAGATGAGTAATTAATATTTCCTTCTTCATTCTAAAAACACAAACCAGTTTCCTAGAAAACCTTGAAAGGCCAAAATATGTTTTTGAAAGGATTAAAATTGCTGTTTGCCTATTTGTGGATATACTTCAAGCTTTTACTTTTGTGGCAAATTCAGGAGGGGGAAATTGTCTGAATTCTCAAATATTTTCCTAAAATGGGACAATAGCCAAATACCCGAAAGTAGATAACATATATTGCATGCAAGACTTCTTGAAGTCTCCTATTGCACCAAAAAAGACAAAAGGGAGATACATTTTTCACAGTAAACTAAGCACTTACTGACTGAGCTTTAATTTCTACTGGTAAAAGATCAAGCTCGTTGCTAATTTTTCCAGATACTATAATTTCAGATCCTTCAAAAAACAGCTTGAAATTGTTCTTGGTTAATCCCTCAATGGCATTTTCTGGATACTGCATTTCAATTTTCATTAATATTGGGGTAGCCACCTCTTGATAAAAGCCCTAAAGAGAAGCAAGAGAGAGAGAGAGCACGAGAGAGTGCACAAATGACTGCAAAATTATGCAAAGCAATACACCGAATGTTTAAAACCCCCTTGAAAAGAAAGGAGCACAGCTTTTTCTTCAGCAGTGTAAGACTGCTGCAAACCTAGAAACAGAAAAAAAAAGTTTCTCCCCAAGGTTCAGCACACATCCTCGAGCCAGGCTGGCGATGCCGTATAAACTGCACTTCCCCTGGTAATTCAAGTACCCAAACAGCATCCCCATTATCACCATCCCCACCCAGTTAGCTGTTTTGCTTTAGCCACTTCTCACATCTGATTTTTTAAACTTGACTAATCCTGAGGTTTAATCTTTCTCTTTCTGGACTGGGGTGGGCGTTAAGCAAATTCAGTCCCTGCACATCCAGCCAAAACAGGTAGAAGTACCTTCCCAAAAAAAGAGAAGGTCCCAAAGGTTATAAACCCTCTCCAGCTGGATGGGAAAGCCCCAGGCTGGTGGTACTGCAGAGCCAGTTTGCCTGTAGGTGCCTCAAACTACCTGCTGGTTTTAGGGAAGCCCTAACAAACAGATCCCATTGGTGGTACTTCAAGCAGTTTGAAATTGGACCCAAGAATGGAAGTTTTCCCACCATCACCTCCCCTAGACAATTTGTCATTTTGCAGAGGTACAGAAATGTGAGAGTTTCCAGGTTTGTCAAAATGCAGTAGATTTGAGGAGGACTTTAACTCTGAGTCATGGATAGGGTACAAACTCTCAGACACCCCAAAATTGCTTTCCTCCCTCCCCAAAATTAACAGAAAAACTCAAACCCAACTCTTTATCCTAAAAAATCTATGATTTTGCTGCTAAGACTAAACATAAGCCGTAGCTGGTAGATGGCTTTTTTGGCCTGTCCTTAGTCCTGACCTGGAGCTGCAAGGCTGCATCGGCGTTCTCATAGATACGACGTGCTATTCCCCCGTTGCTTAGGGCCATTTTCTCCAGGAACTTATAACTGACATCAAACCCGAAGCCAAGGCAGAAAAGAGCATATTTCCCACTGACTGCTTTCTGAATGTTTTCTTGAATTACTTCCACATTACTCTCACCTGTAATTGAAATAAAAACATACCCTTGTTTGGTTGGTTTTGTTAAAGTATGAAAAGACAGCAACTCGTTTAATGGAAAATTCTGCTTTAAGTATTTTTAAAATAACTCAGAATAAAATAAAAAAAATATGAAACACAATTCTGTTAATTTAATTGGAGATAAAAGCACCACTCTGCATTTGGAGTACCAGAACCTGATTCTCCCCCTTAATGACTTTTACTAACTTCTACTCATGTCATCATTAAGTGCAAAATATTTTACAAGATTACGAGGGCAAGAGGTGGTTTTTAGGACAAAAGGGACACACACTGCAGGTTAACAGCAGCAACACTTGATCAAGCTTTGGGAAGACAAGTACCAGTCATAAAAATTATGTGCATGAATTCAGAGAAGAATGGATTGGATGGTGGGGTAATTCAGAGAAACTGCAAATTAACTCAGCCAGGCTTCTCTCCCAGTCCCTTTGCATGACAAAGGGAAAAGATTTTCACACCATCATCCTGTGCCATTTGAAGAGCTGCTGATGGCCCTCTATTACGGGCTTCTCTACCACCTTTTCCAGCCAGGAACTGTCCCTGCCTGTAGCAACATCATGGGAGCAGCTCAGATTTTCCCTTTTCAGCCTGCTTTGCTGAGGAAGGCAGTGTACGCAGTAACACCGCAGGTATTCTCCTGGTGCTCCATCCTGGCCTGGTTTCTAGGTAACTTGTGCATGTGCAGTGTGCTCGGGGGTACTTGAGACTCGCTGTGGCTGTGCTGAGCAGGCAGCACTGTGGGCTGGATTTTATTTAAAAAAACCCCAACTAAAAAAGCAACCCCAGAGCAGTACAGATCACACGATCTGAAAGGCAGACTGATCTTATCAGAGGGCTTACAGTTGAATTAATATTGCTGGCCTCGGAGAGATGCTGGTGCCACACAAAACTTAGACAAACTCCTGTTCAGAGCAAGCGATATCTGTGCCATTGCATTGGGAGTTACTGTTTATTTAACCCGATATTTCTATCTCAGCCCTCTGGTTTGTGTTATCACAGCTGATCACTGGGTGAGAGCTAAACACGGAAAAGAATACAAAACAAGAGGCACCTTGAAAATATCTCAAGTTTGGGGCAAGGAGGATGAAGAAATATAAGCAATACTACTCAAATAGGGTCATACATAATGCAAAATGTCCATGTTTGAGCTCTGAGTATTTTATTTTCATGTTTCAGCTGTGCCTAGAGTATCTCCAACAATTCCCTTGAGTTTATAAAATGGGAAGCCCATGGTATTTAGCAAAACAGTTCCCAGCTAAAGGACGTGTAGTCCCGGGCAGGCAGACTCTGCCATCACTCCTTACAGCCTTTGCCAGAGCTCACTCATTATCATCCTTTCTCCGACACAGATCCAGCGATAGCCCAGCCTGCTTCTACCAAAGCTCTTCTGAAACACAGCCTATGTCTATCAACACCTGGAATGCAAATGTAAAAGATAAAAATATCAAGGAGAGAGAGGACTGAGGCTAGTATTTACTCACCAGAAGTGGGCTGGCCGTCTGTCAGCAAAATAATCATGGAGACGCTCCGTTCTGGCAGCCTCTCAGCTTTATCCAGCACGCTTACGGCAGTCAGCAGAGCACGATTGATATCCGTGCCTGTAACGAGAAAGCAGGCATCACTCACCTAAAAAGGGATAATCATCTGAAGAAATTGGTGCGCTTCATCTGCAGAGGCCCTGCAGAGTTGTTTAAAGCTTTCTGCAGGAAGTAATCCTTCAGAGAGATGAGGATTTAGGGGTTTAGCCTACTGGGCTTAATTACAGTGTGTTATAGTGCAGTGGCAACACTGGAGTATTCTTTTGGGAGCACTTTCCACACGTATGTCATGGGAAACACAAACATGTCTAGAGCCATTAAAAAGTGTTTAAGTAAACACACTGTCATCTGTTAACCTGTGTTTAAGACATGGCTCCTAGCCTTATTTGAGAAGTCAAAGAAAAGAGCTGGGCACAGGTGGGCTTTGCTGGTGTTAGTGCCTGGGATAAGAAAACCCACACAAATACTAACAGCATAACACTAGTGGGAGAAATAGTCTTTTAAATGTGCTCGAAACAAAAGAATAAGCCTAAGCACACTGAGTGATGTGGCAATTGAAATGCTTCATGCCTATTTTGACTGTTTTATTTCTGTAGTGTGGCTTACAAGGGAGTATACCTTTGGATGCATTTTATTTTACAAGAGGACCCTCGATATTAAAAAAAATCAGCACGTTGCTGTCAATTGTTGAGTGAAATGCAATTTTTTCTGTGGAAGAAATTTACTATCGCGAAATCTTCCAGCCATCTCTGTTACAAAAACCTGAAACAAAACTTAGTGTCTTGTACAGTGCGTAGATGCAAATGTAACCATCTCTCTGTATCTCCATGTCATGATGTACTCACCAGTCCATCCATTCCCATAACCAGCCTTTCTAGCCCACTCAGCACTCACAAGTATTAAAAACTTGTTTGTGAGCACTGATGGCAGTTCTGTGGCACCGTATGACTCATAAAAATAATATTTTTTTTCTACGCAATATATTATATTGGGTGCATGTTTGTGGCTACAAGCATCTGCGTGGTGCCTTGTACCTCCACTAGCAGACAGGGTTTGCACGAATCCGGCAGCACTTGCCGCGTTCTCTGCAGTGGCTTGCAGCAAAGAGCTCTTCCACTCCGCCACTTTGCTATTAAAGGTGATAAAGCTGAAGTGGTCTTCTGGGCGGAGGTCCTGCAAAATCTTCAACAGGGCTTCCCTTGTCTGTTCCAAGGAGAAAACAGTCACTTTGAATATTTTACTTCTTTGCCAGAACTGGGACTGGAATTGCAGTGTAAAAAGGGCCTTTCTCTACAGCACTGTTCAAGATGCAGCCCAATACCCTTCATCAGTCCTAATATTATTTTTCAGGTTGTGACCATCAGAAATGGCTGATTCACTTAACTTACAGACACCAAAAAACAGCTGTGAGGGCTGTAACAGGCTTGTCTCTTCTCTAGCAAAGCTACAGGCACAGGGATCAATACAGGTAAAACAGACAAATTAATTATTTAAACTTCGTTGAAGAAAAAAATTAGAAGCAAAATATTCTGCAAAGATAGAGGCAGAAAAAGTGCTCTCTGCCTTAATGTTTGATATCCATGAGAATATCTGCATCTCAAAGTGTGGCTCTTTAACAGCTTAAATCTGTACATACGTATTTCCAAGCATTTCTGTATGTCTGGAAACTTTGCTGTGTACAAAACCAGAATATGTTTCAAAAGTGAAATTCAGTCACTTCATCGAAAGGCTGGTGTGTGTACCTGATGCAAGCAGAGGTCAGCACTTTGAGGTACATTACCTGCTCAATTTTTCTACCTGCCATGGAGCCACTTCGATCTATAACGAAGACGACATTTTTTGGAAACACTGGCATTTCACGGGGTGCAAAGTAATGCACAAAATACCCATTGACAATCTGAAATACAGAATGTGAAATCATGTATAAAATTACATCTAAATAAATAAACATCACACCTTAGAGTTCTGGCATAGCAATAAGGAGGGGTGCATGCTCAGCATCCTGTTCTTCTAGATAAGCCCAAATCAAAGAACTATTAAAATGTATTTCCTAGCTGGAAGCAAGACTATCTGTAGAGAGCAAATTACAAGAGGACAGCATACATATATATTATATGCCTCAGTGCCATAAGTACTATGATTCTGTATTATCACTGTGTATTATGTTACCTTTTTGTTATGACCTATGAGCACATCTCTGCTCATTGGCTGCATCTGACATCTTTTAGTACACCCATGTATACTTCATGAGTGAAATGGTATGGAAAATAATGTACTTTATTCCATAGGGTATGCATTGGTCCATAAATATTTTTAAGTTTCTGCTCTTTTTAGTTATGCCTTGGTTGTCAGAAAAAATAAAAGAAAAATCACATTCCTCTAAACTTCATTTACAAGAAGCCACAAATACACCTTAGATCAGCCAAAATAATAATAAAAAAAAAAAGAATGGAGACATCTATAAAGTGGCAATGGCAATATAGATTTGGTATTGAACAAAATCTGAAAGACTGATTTATTTTTCATGGATGATCCATTCTTGCAATGTGTCTGGTGTCT